TTGGAAGGTGGCCCCTGCCTGGCAAACGTGGTCAGCACAACAGTTTCTAAGAAAATCACTGCGGAAGGAAAAGCATGACCATTAGGTCAGGCCCAGCCCTCATCTTCCAACAGACACCTGCTCAGGTGCACAGATGGGCTCCCTCTGTCCAGAGGATGGCAGGTGCTTCCTGAGCTGGCTTTGTCCACAGGAGTCTGCAGAACACCTGCTCTCAGGTGACATTTTCTGGATGAATGATTGACTCCACAGCAAGCTGGCAATGCTGGTTTCAGTCACAATATCTTTGCAACTGCGGCTCTCTTTCCTGGGCTGTGTTCCCTAGGATTGGCCTGCTCCAGTGTGAGAATGCCCCACCCTCCCCACCTCAAGTATCCAAGAGCAGATGTGAGGGCCCAGAGTGCATTGCAGATAGGAAAACAGTGTTCTACACTCAGTCTACAGTAGACATTTCTGCCACATTAAGCATTCCTTCCAGAAACACATATGTGCTAACTTAATATGTTGGAATGATTAAAATTGCGATATGGGAGACAGTCAATATCTTGATATTTCAATGGAACTGACTTTTAAAAATATTTATAATTTTACTTGAACTCAAAAGTAAATGTTGGAAAAGTCATTTCCAAAAATTTAGCATTCACAATAGGTCATTATTAGGCAAAGAGAGAAGCAGCCCAAGGACAGATGAGAACCTGTGAGTGTCCATGGTCTTATATTTATTTATTTATCCACCAAGTACTTGCTAAGGAGAAGTTAGCCAGGATTATGTGAGTGAATCACTCTCCTTTGCCTGTCACATGATCCACTCCTGCCATGACTGTCAATCCTCAGGACACATTCCATTTTGTCACTTCCATTTTACAGACGAATACATGAGTTAGTGTGAGAAGGGACACGTGATTAGATGGCAGAGCTGGGCCTTCAGGGATGGCATTTTTAATCCCAAATCCAGAAACATAACTACACTGAGGACTCCCCAACTCACTAAGTTTGTACAAAGCTCTAGTATATATGCTTTGGGGGATGACAAAGTACATCAAATATGAATTCTGGTTCAGGCAGCCTTTAGTCTGTAAGAGCAATAATGCAGTTCTGTGTCTTGGTCTGTTCAGGTTACGTCAACAAAACACCATATGTGGGAAGCCTGTGGGCAAAAGACATTCATTTCTCACAGCTCTGTAGGCTGGAAAGTCCAGGATCAAGCACTGGCAATGTCTTGTGAGGGCCTGAATCCTGGTTCATGGATGGTGACTTCTTGCTGGGTCCTTCCATAGTGAGGGGGAAGGCAACTCACTGGGACCTCACTCCATTCACAAGAACGCTGCCCCTGTAACCTAATCACCTCCCAAGGTCCTGCCTCCTAACACCATCTCCCTGTGGGTTAGGACATCATTATATGAATTTTGGGGTGACATAGTCATTTAGGTCACAGCAATACATAATTGACCATAAAGTAATACCTGGTAGACAGCTATGGTACAAGAATAGCCATAGGTCCACTCTCATTTAAATGAGAAAATATTGTTTAGCGGAAATTAGAACTTGATGGTCTGCCAACCTCAAATATTTAAATATTGTATCCATCTCAACTTTGGAGATGACAATAAATGGTTTCCAAAGCAAACACAATTATGACTTACTGGGCAATTCCAAATTATGTCACCTTTGGATTTTGGACAATGAACTGAGAAGAAGCGGCTGCCCTGGGGTCACACACAATCGGTTCACACTTGTCAGTTCTTCCTATCTAGCCCATCCTGGTTCCTTTTTGGATTCTGGCTTGGGACAAGCACAGGAAGGAGGGCAGGGCACGCAGTAGTGGGCTCCATGTGGCTTGGTGGCCCCTGCTCAGTTCCAGGCCATTGGCATAGCCATGGACAGGACACAGCTTCTGCACCACCTCCCTCTGATGCCTCGATTACTTCAACAGACTGAATCAAAGAGTAATTGGCCTTCCTGAGGCAGAAAAAGAAACAGAGACCACACTGGAACAAACTTTCCATGAGATTATTCAAGAAAACTTCCCTTATCTAATCAGTGATGCAAATATTCAAACACAAGAGATTCAGAGAACCCCTGCAAGACAACAAATGAGAAGACCAACTCCCAGACACATAATAATTCACCTAAACAAAGTAGGTATAAAAAAATGCTAAAGGCAGCAAGAGAAAAAGGCCAGATCACCTACTTTGGAAGACCAATTAGAATAGCAGCAGATTTATCTATAGAAACCCTGCAGGCTAGGAGAGCTTGGAGCCCTACCTTCAAAGTTCTAAAAGATAAACAATTTCAACCAAGAATAACCTACCCATCCAAGTTAAGCTTCATCAGTGAGGGAGAATTAAAATCTTTCCCAGATATCCAATCCATAAGAACTTACGCTGCCACCACACTGCCTCTACATGAAACACTTAAGAAAGTACTAAACACAGAAAAAAGGAAAAAAGAACAACGTTCTTCACAAGAGTACAGGAAAAAGAATAAAATACACATGAACCAACCCCAAAACCTAAAGAAAGACAAAAACCCAAGTGAAAAAACAACAAATCCATAAGAATTCTATGACAGGTAGACGGGGCAAGATGGCGACGGCATAGGTGAACTTGTGAGATTCTCTGAACGTGAGTTCCCAAAAAGGCTATCACTTCGCTACCCCCATCCCCCAGCCCACCACCAACCGCGCTGGGGGCAGGCCCGGGAACTTCAGTCCCACGCAAGGCCAGATATTGCGCCCCCGCCCCACTGCTGCCGTTCTACTCGTGTGTGGAAGTCTCCGGTCCCAGCCCCCTCCAGATCCCTCCCCGGCTGCATTGTCTCCAGCCCGGGCACCCGGCATCAAGCCGCCGGTCACACAGGGAGGCTCTGGGCACCCGCCCCTCAGAGACGCTGGTTCCATTTCTGGCTGAAGTCCTCTGTTGGGTCCCAGCGCCACTCTCGCTGTCTAGAGCCTGCCCTTTGGAACTTTGGAGCTCTGGAACTCCGGGTCCACCCTGGCTGAGGCACTCAGCGTGAGACCCCATATCAGAGGACCCAGACAAGCAGAGAAAAACAGATCTGCTTAAACTGCCTTGTCATTCTCCAGGAAGAGACTTCCATTGGCCCTGCCCACCTAGCAACAAACTTTATCTTATTTCCTAAGGCCAGGTATTGCAGCGTGCGGGGAAGTTTTGGGTCCCCTGCTCCCTCCAGCTCTCTGCACCTGGCACCGCAGGTCGCACAGGGAGGCTCTGAGCGCCCGCCCCTCAGAGACACCGGTTCCATTACTGGCTGAATACTCTGTAGGGGCCCAGTGCCACTCTCGTCATTTACAGTCTGCCTTTTGGAACTTTGGAGCTCTGGAACTCCGGGTCCACCCTGGCTGAGGCACACAGCGTCATACCCCAACCCAGAGGACCCAGACAAGCAGAGAAAAACAGACCTGCTTAAACTGCCTTGCCATTCTCCAGGCAGAGATTTCCATTGCCCCGCCCACCTAGCAACAAACTTTATCTCAGCTACTATGGCAACAGTGTGAAACAGGAGACAAAGCCCCACCCCTATGCTGCAACGAAAAACAAAAGGGAGAGGCTGGAATCGGAGATCACAGAAGTGACTCTAGTTTGATGGCTTATTTTGACCTATGATTTTATCATTGAAACTGTGGGTCTAGATTACGTTTGGTGTTTACCTTCTGACTTATACTGTTTCTTGATTTTTTTGGCCTGTCTCTGTTTAGCTATCAGTATTCTTTAGGGAATCTTTCTTACCTGTCTTTTTTCACTTCTTCCCAGCCCTGTGTCTCTCTCTCACCTGATAGTTGGTATGTATATCTGTTTTCCCTCTTGCACTTCTCCCTTTCGCTTATTTTGACTTATGATTTTAAGAAAGGACATACACAGACTCAAAGTAAGAGGATGGGTAACAAATTTTCAGGTGAATGGAACACAAAAGAAAGGAGGAGTTGCAATCCTAGTTTCCGACAAAATACCATTTAAGCTATTGAAAATTTAAAAAGATACAGAGGGCCACTATATAACGATAAAAGGTTCACTCCATCAACAAGAAATATCTATCCTAAACATATAGACACTCAACATAGGAGCAGCTTTCATAAAGCAGCTTTTAGGAAAACTAAAGAAAGATATTGGCTCTAACACTACTATAACTGGGGACTTTAATACCCCACTCACAACCCTAGACAGCATCAGGACAAAAAATCAGCAATGTGATCTGGAATACCAATGTGACTCTTGACCAAATGGACTTAATTGATACCTACAGAACATTCCATCCAAAGACCACAGAATACACATTCTACTCAACACCGCATGGAACGTATTCTAAGATCGATCACATACTTGGCCATAAATCAAGCATAAGCAAATTTAAAGGACCGAAATTTTACCATGTACCTTCTCAGACCACAGTGGAATAAAAATAAACATTAACATCAACAAGGTCCCCTCCAAATCCACAAAGATCTGGACACTAAACAGCATGATGCTAAACAACTCCTAGGTCAATGATGAAATCAAACAGAGATCAAAAGATACCTGGAAACAAATGAAAATGAAGAAACATTTTATCAAAATCTCTGGGACACCAAGAAAGCTGTAGTAAGAGGGGAATTTATATCCCTACAAACGCACATGAAGAAAATGGAAGGATCACAAATTAACAGCCTAACAAGTCACCTAAGGAAGCTGGAAAAGCAAGACTACAAAAACCCTAATTTCAGCAGAAGAATCCAGATCACCAAAATAAAAGCCCAAATCCAGGACATATAAGACAAAAAGATAATACAAAAAAATCAATGAAACAAAAATCTGGTTCTTCAAAAGGATAAACAAGATCAATGGTCCCCTAGCCAGACTGACCAAGAAAAAGAAAGAAAAAACCCAAATAAGCACAATCAAAAACACAAAAGATGAACTCACTTCTGACCCTGAAGAAATAAAAAAGATCATTAGAGACTACTATGTACACTTGTATGGAAACAAACTTGAAAAGCTTAAGGAGGGAGGAGGTCCTGGAGGCCAGGCGGACGCTTCCCGCACTCGAGCTGGTGCTGGTGCCATGTGGAGCGGAGCCGAGATTGGCCGGCAGCGAAGCCAGCTGAGCGGGCGCCGAGCTCCCGCCATGGCCCAGAATACGCTGTCCTCACGTTTCCGCCGGTTGGACATCAACGAATTTGACAAGAACAAATTTGTGGATGAGCAGGAGGAGGCGGCGGTGGCAGCAGCAGAGCCAGACCAGGACCCTAGTGAGGTGGACAGGCTCCTGCGGCAGGGGGACGTGCTTCAGGCGTTCCATGCAGCCTTGCAGAACTCTCCCGTCAACACCAAGAATCAAGCCGTGAAGGAGCGAGCCCAGGGCATGGTGCTGAAAGTGCTCACCAATTTTAAGAGCAGTGAAATTGAGCAGGCTGTGCAGTCACTGGACAGAAACGGCGTTGACTTGTTACTGAAGTACATTTATAAAGGGTTTGAGAAGCCCACAGAAAATAGCAGTGCAGTGTTACTTCAATGGCATGAAAAGGCCTTAGCAGTAGGAGGACTAGCCTCCATTATAAGAGTTCTTACAGCAAGAAAGACTGTTTAAAAAAAAAAAAGACTCATGTTACCTTGAGAAGAATTGTGGATGCCCAGGCTGGTGAAGAAGGGATTGACAATGGACCATCCTTCTAGGAACTCCCAACTAAACTATTTTAGGACATGTATCTGCTGAAATGTATTTTATTTTCAGGGTGGAGGGAGAAATTGTCTTACTGTTTCCTAAATCCTTTGCAGGATCTGATAGTCTATGCCTTTGTCTACAAGTAATGCAGAACTGACATTCTGTCTACTAGAGTGGCTGGCCAGTGTTGGTCAGGTGTACCTATGTGCACCGGGGGAGGGATGATTCAGGCAGGTGCAGATCCAAGGGCTGTGGTTAAAGGGAGAGTTTGTGTTTTTTGAAGTGGAAAAGACCCAAGAGTTTGTACAGACATCCTGTCTTCCCAGAGAAGGCAGACACTCTTGGAGTCCTTGTAAAGTGCCTGCTGCATCAATAAAGCTCTTGGCTTATTAGTAAAAAAAAAAAGAAAACCTTAAGGAAATGGAGGAATTTCTGTCATCACACAACCCACCTAGGTTGAAACAAAAAGAAATTGAGACCCCAAGTAGACCAATAACAATCAAGGAATTTGACTACATAATAAGAAAACTACCTACAAAAAAAGCCCTGGACCAGATGGTTTTCCAGCAGAATTCTATAAGACATTTAAGGAGGGGCTGATACCCATCCTACTGAAGGTATTCCAGGCGATTGAGAAAGATGGAACTCTCCGCAAATCATTTTACAAAGCTAACATCACATTGATACCCAAGCCAGGTAAAGACCCAACAAAGAAAGAGAACTACAGGCCAATATCTTTAATGAACTTAGATGCTAAAATTCTCAACAAGATCCTAGTAAACCGGATTCAACAACACATCTCAAAAATCATCCATCATGACCAAGTAGGCTTCATCTCTGGAATTCAAGGCTGGCTCAACATTTATAGAACCATAAATGTAATTAAATACATCAACAGATGTCAAAACAAAACCCACATGATTATATCATTAGATGCAGAAAAAGCCTTTGATTAAAATCCAGCACCACTTCTTGATAAAAACCCTCGAACATCTAGGCATACAGGGAACATACCTCAAAATAGTAAAAGCCATCTATGAGAAACCCACAGCCAGCATACTCTTAAATGGACACAAATTGGAACCATTTAACTGAAAACTGGAACAAGACAAGGATGCCCACTCTCATCCCTCCTGTTCAATATAGTATTGGAAGTTCTGGCTAGAGCAATCAGAGAAAAGAGAAGGTGATCAGTGGTATCCAAATAGGAAAAGAGGAAGTCAAGTGATCTCTCTTTGCAGATGACATGATTGTGTACCTTGAAACCCAAGAGAATCTATCAAAAACCTCCTTACACTGATAAAGCCCTTTGGCAAAGTCTCAGGATATAAAATAAATGTGCAAAAGACAATCACATTTCTTTACACCAATAATAAAGAAACAGAAACCCAAATAAAAAGCACAATTCCATTCACAATAGCCACAAAAAAATGAAATACCTTGGCATTTTTCTAACCAGAGACGTGAAAGGCCTTTACAATGAAAATTACAAAACTCTGCTCAAAGAAATCAAGATGACACAAACAAGTGGAAAATATCCCAAGCTCATGGATTGGGAGAATCAACATTGTGAGGGTGTTCATCCTACCTAAGGCAATCTACAGATTTAATGCAATACCCCTCAAATTACCAGCAAAATTCTTCTCAGACCTAGAAAAAACAATACAGGAATTCATGTGGAAACACAAACGACCAAGAATAGCCAGAACAATCCTCAACAACAACAAAAAAAAACAAAGCAGGTGGCATCACATTACCAGACTTCAAACTTTACTATAAAGCAACAATAATCAAAACAGCTTGGTATTGGTATAAGAACACACATATAGACCAATGGAATAGAATTGAGATTCTAGAAGCCAAATCTCAATTTCTCCATCAAGTCATCTTCAACAAAGACTCCACCACCTACCACTGGGAGAGGAGAACCTATTCAGTAAATGGTGCTGGGAAAACTGGCTGACCACATGCAGAAGATTGAAACAGGACCCCTATCTATCCCCATGCACAAAGGTTAACTTCAAATGGATCAGAGACCAAAATGTAAAACCTCAAACCATAAGAACCTTAGAAAATGAAGGACATACCCTCGTGGAAATTGGAACTAACATCCAATTCCTGAGCAAAACTCAAAACTGACAGGCCATAAGAGATAAGATAGACAAGTGGTACCTCATTAAACTGACAATCTTCTGCAAAGCCAAAGAAACCATCAAGAGAGCAGGGAGACAGCCTACAGACTGGGAAAAAGTATTTGCCAACTCCAGGTCTAACAAAGGCTTAACATCTTGGATCTACATGAAACTCAAACATGCTGAAAAGAAAAAAACAAACAACCCAATTATAAAATGGGCAAAAGATATGAACAGACACTTCTCAAAGGAAGACATCCAAGCAGCCAACAGACACATGAAGAAATGTTCAACCTCACTAATCATCAGGGAGATGCAAATCAAAACCAAGCTGAGATACCACCTAACTCCAGTCAGAATGGAAATTATCAATAACTCAAAAAATAACAGCTGCTGGAGAGGGTGTGTCGAAAAGGGAACACTTCTACACTGTTGGTGGGAGTGTAAACTAGTGCAACCTCTGTGGAAAGCAGTGTGGCCATTCCTAAAAGCTCTAAATGTCAACCTCCCATATGACCCCGCAATCCCCCTACTGGGAATAGACCCTGAAGAACTCAAATCACTCTATCACAAAGACACCTGCACACATATGTTTATCACAGCATTGTTTACAATCGCAAGAACCTGGAAGCAACCATGCTGTCCATCAAAAGAGGTCTGGATTAAAAAACGTGGTACATATACATGACAGAATACTATGCAGTCATAAAAAAGAACAAAATCATGAATTTCACAGCAACCTGGATGG